GAACTTTCTATGATTCTATGCTGTTCAAAATCTGAGGCCTTCCATCATAGATTACAATGAAAAGGCTTAGATGTTCAACTTTCTGAACTGTATTTAATCTATAATATAGATGGGATTTTTGGTTGTTGTTTTTTTACCATGGATACAGCTTCAGGGATATTAATGCTATTTCTGCCTTTTTTTTTAGTGCAAATGATGGAGTATTTCGCAGATACCGAGGCTCACGCACATTGGAAGATCTTCAAGGTTATGTTTTAGAGAGAAAATGGGAAGCTGTGGAGCCTGTAGCAGGATGGAAGTCTCCATCTTCTATAATGTAACACTTTATTAACAAGAAGCATGTTATATAGCTCATTAGTCATTAAGAGTGCTATGTTGACAGCTTAAATACAAAGGCCTCTATTCTCTAGACGTGTAGGTTTTGCAGAAGCAATCTGTCTTGTCAGCCAGCTTTCCAGTTTCTCACCTTTTAAAAGCAGTCTATTTTCTGCATTTGCTTTTTGTTCATGCCTGCTAAGGCTTATTTCTGTCGTCTTTGAAAATATAAAAACCAAAAAAGTACAGCTACTAAGCGTTACGTAAGTGTCAGTTCTGCTGAGTACTGGAATCAAATTGATGTTTAGGCAGATTATTACTTCTTGGCTTGTGGCTACTTGGGACAGGCAGCCTTTAGCTTTAAGGATTTCTTGTTTATTTTTTTATAAGGAAGTCCTGCATCCTCCTTTGGAGTAGGAAACAGTGTAGCGCTTACACAGCATACCAGAATTTGTATAAAGAGTATTGGACTTGCTCTGCAATCGCAGGATAGGAAGGATGAACCAAAGATGTGAATGGCCCGTATTTCAATCCAGCCAAAGCTATTCTGTGTAAATGCATGTCATAGATCCAGTGGGTGTCCTCATTTTTCATCTGAGAATGAGGAAGAACTGTAGGCTCGTTAGTAATGGGGAGAGAAGGTACAGGGTTGTGTGTTGGGCAAGAGGTGGTTACGGCTGTACAGGGTTAAGTACTTGCTAGTTGTTGATTATGCTCAAATGCCATTTTTCAAGTCAGTGCTTCAGCCTTTGCATTGAGCTTCCTTTCGTGAACATAATATAGAGAAAATGGATTTGTTTGCAGGAGCCTCCTTCTGAAAATTACTAGGGCCGGAATGGCGTTACAAGTCTGTAGCATCTGTTTCTGGTCTCTGTGCGATTTGCTTTGTATCTCAGCTCCTGTCTGTCTTAGAACCTGTTCCTTCCGTTTCTTTGTTTTCTAGGATGCATGGCATGGCAGGGCTCTTCCACCTCTCTGGATGGATCCGAGTAAGTAGCTGGTATTGTTTTCCATAGCCCCTCTTTATGCTTAGAATAATAATCTGTTTAGAAGTAAAAACCTAACTGAATATTTTTATTATCCTGTTACCAGAGTTAAATTTTTCCTTACTTTTACTGTATGTTGGGTGTATAGTATCTTTGCACTATAAATTTTGTAGCACTAAAATGGCACTTTGGTTGTAAAGATTATCATCAGTACTGAAAATACTGTCCTTATTGTCTTGGTACAGTTAAAATGTTCTATCAAAATGCACTAACATGATAAATTATTATTTGAGAGCTCCTGCAAATATGGTTGTAAACATCAGAAATATATTTAGTATCTACCAGGTTCCTTTACTTAATATTTTTGCTAGAGATTATGCCCAAGTTCATTTTTAGAGTTGTAAATCTTGCTCTTCTGCAGTTTGTTTCCGTTTAGTCCACTGTATAGGAGGAGGAAGGGTAATGGTTTTATTTTTTAGTAAGAATTTCTGCATCTGGATTTCAAAGTGTCAACACCATTTGCATAGGAACACAACAAATTTGGTCAGTAGAGTAATTATCAGAAGTAAAGGAGAAATGCTTGGTGTAAAGTGAAGTATGCTTTGACTTAAAAATATTTCAGGACGCTTTCACTTGGGAGCTATCAAAGGTTTTCTTGTAGCGTACAAATATTGAGAATTTTCAGGCGTTTCCAATTTCGGTCAGAAAACATACTCTTACAATCTTCAAGTGTATCCAAGATTATGAGACTGTGTTGGATGGTAGCAAAAGGTCTTCGTATTGTAACTTGCTACAAAAAATAAGTGCAGTAGAGAGTTTGAATAGAATTTGTATCACTTCCAGTAAGCATCTAATTAACCCAGCTTCAAATAAAACTGTAGTTCTTAGGTTTCCTGTGTGAGCTGTCTTTTGATTCTTTCTTTCACTGGATAGTATTAAGTTTTTATAGCCCCCTGGCAATTCTCTTCCACGGTTGCTGTGTAATAATGTTGTGTCTGTCTAGTTTACTTCCTGAAAGATTAAATACTCTGGGAAGAAGCCTTCTCTCATTTGCTTTCTGCTTTGATGAATATTTCAGCTGTACGTTTCCTCACTCTTCTTGCTGTGCTGTCCTTGCATATGCTTTAAAAGATGCCGGAAGCTGTTCTGACATTTACAGAAAAACCAAAACCTGAAATTTCAATATTTAAACTTTTGGGTAAAAGCTGATTGTGGTTTGTTTTCTAATGGATATACCCTTAGAAGAGATCTAATGTCGTAATTTACTTCCTGACAGACTATCTGCCTTGGTGGTGCTTGGTTCAGTCAATTCAATCTGTGGGTTTGAGTTAATGGACTTCAGTTTCAAAGAAATCTTAATATTATGTTTGGATTATTCTCTTTAAATTCATAAGCGAAATCACGTATTTGGTGTCTGCTTAGAATGAGTGGCTGTAAGAACTAAAGAGCTTGAATAAGAACTGGTTTAATTTACATATGGCATCTCTACAGCCAGGTACCTTAGGAAGAAAGAATTGTGCATCCTTTGCTTAAGAAATCTTTTAATGTGAACAACTTCGAAAAGAAAAACAAGTTTAAATTATATCAAAAATTGTAGTATGTTGTTTAAGGATGACTAGGGCTTGAGAGAGAAGACTTTAATATAAATACTAGGGAATGAAAGGTCTTAATTAGTCATCAAATTATGTAATGTGATGGCAGTGTAATTCATAAGTGGTGTTAGTTATAAAGCTATTGAGTATGATCTTCTCATTTCCAGCAAATTCACAGCTACCTCACTGGCACTCTTGGAATTCATGTTTGGATTTCTTACGCAATCTTCATCTTGGCAACCTTATTGATTGGCCTGTTCCTGGGCTTGGTAAGAAAGCACAATACTTCTTTTTTTCTCACTTACCTAGAACTTTTTTGCTTTGCCTTAACTTATGGAAAAAGGAATAAACTTCACTGATAAGATACACTGAAGTGTCTTATTTTGATGAGCTATCTCTTCCCCCAGGTATCAAGTGATAGGATGTGTGGGAACTGATTCAAAGCTGAGCCAGAGGAGCTTTAGACTGGGGATTTCCTTACCAAGAGGGTGATCAAACACTGGAACAGGCTTCCTAGAGAGACGGTCGATGCCCCAAGCCTGTTTAGAGGCATTTGGACAATGGCCTTGATAACATCCTTTAACTTGGTCAGCCCTGAATTGACCAGGCTCCTGGACTGTAGGATCCCCTTGGGTCCCTCTCAGTGGGGGTAGTCTGTCATCTTCCATTCGAATTCTTAAGTATTCAGTACTGCAGATCCACTCCCTGGTGTTACTGCCTACTGCTGGTAAAGGTTAAGCCTAGTTCACTCGAATAAATTAACCTTTTTGTGAAATACATGCCTCAATTTAGATTTGTTTAGTCCAACCATTAAATGAGTGATTTTTATATTGGCCTTTTGTAGCTAAGACTTTTGTACTTGAGGATCGAATGCGTGGAGTCAGAATTGTGGAAAGACTCTAACTTTCTAAAAACATGGGCGTTGTGGAGAGATTTTTATTAGCTAGAGTGGGATTGTATTTGTGGGAGTTAGCAACTTAAGTATACTGCTGCACTGTTACTCAAAAGTAAAGGATGAAAATATGTGGGGGGTTTTAAAGCTTTGAAGATTTGGGGGTATAACTGATTCACTTTATTCCGAGGCGTAGCTTGGATTTGGTAAAATCTAACTTCTCTTCTTTCTCCCCTGTGATCTTTTGGGTTGAGTTCTCATTAGTAATTGAAAAATTTGCCTGCTCTTGTTACTAACTAGACCTGATGTGTTCATATATCAATTTCCAAAACATCAGGGAAGTTATTCAGGCAGACCCCTTAGTTATATATGTGAACATTAAGTACCATGTCCTGAGCCCTGTGTTGTTTTGTCAGTGGAAACGGTTCAAAGTAGCTTTACCTGTGGAGCCAGAATTATCTTCTCTCAGAATATATGAACTATGTGGCTCTGTGACCTCTCAAATACAGATATGAAATGAGAAACTGAGCTATAAAAGGAGATACGGATGGGAACAGAACTTCTTTCAGACTAGTTACTTGGTCCACAAGTGTGTCCTGCAACTGCCAAGACAGTTTAAAAGCATTATGCTGATAATTGGCTTAACTCCCTGCTAAATCCTTGTTCCCTGTAGGAAGTGTGAAGGTTGTTTCTAACACTTGGATCTCTGCCCTTCAGCCCAAATACTAGTGTTAGTGAAATAAAGAAAAATCGTGTGGGTGTGTTTCTTACTAGTACAAGGAAGTGATTTCAAAGAAGCAGTGTGTGCATATTTAGGCGAAACCACATTTTTATAGATATGTGTATGGAATTGGCATATATGAGCACATGTTTTTCATTATACAATGTAAACAGCTGCTGTCTCCTAGATGGTAGATATCCATCACCAAATGGGTGCAAACGGAGTTAGTGTAACTGGGGCAAATGAATATGATGATTTAAAAAAAAAATAAATTTCTTCTTTCTCCTTTGCTAAAAATCCCCTCCAAAATTGAAAAAGCTGAAAAAATGTAAAGTTCATCTCTCAGCTTTTTCTAAAAAGCTTTTCAATGGTTGAAATATAGTTCTTTGACATGGTATCATCTGTCTCTTTTTCTTTCCTTTGCATTATTCTTAGCATGTGACAATGAGGCACGAATCACTTCCTTGCGTTTTGAATGTGTTCTGCACTAGGCTGCTTTAAATAAGGACGAGCATAAAAGGTAGAAGTACATGTCATGTACTGGGGAGCCAGGGGTAGGAATGAAATAGCATCCCAAAATACATAAAATCTTCAAGATTTTTTTCATAAGTTTTAAAGAAATAAAAAAATCCTTAACTGGGATCTGGGCCCCTCTTCTTAAGGTGCAAGTAGATGCAATACTGAATAAATTTAGGGAAGTAGGAGGCAGAAAATTTGTACTGGAAAGCAGAAAATGTTTGTTCGAGAACACACTTTTCTGTGTTTTTATTTAGCTCTTGTCTCTGTGCAAGATAATACAAATTTCTAAATTTTATTGTATGTCAGAAAAGGATGAGTAGAAAAATAATTAACGACGCAGGAGCTGCTGGGATGGTTTCCTAATAAATGCCTTTTTTTTGCTTTATGCAGGTACTGGTTTTGATTTCAGACTGCCTTTGCCCATCCAAGTCAAGATACAGAGCTGATACATCTGGTAGGAACACTTCTCTGGGTGAGATGCTGTAGGTTGAAATGTAAACTTGTAGGAGGGAGGGCAATACACTGTCAAGGACTTAGATGTGAATCTGTAATCCAGGTATTCATTTAGTCACACTGATAAAGATTGATTTGTCAGGCTCTAAAATATCTGTATCAAAGCATCCACCTGCAGGATAGCAAAGCAAGGCAAAAAAAACCACCAAAACCTCCAAACAGTCACTTGTTCTAGTTTCCACAGCTGTGAAGAGGCTAAATGCGTTCAAAATGAGGACGTCTTGCAAAAAGATACTGGGATTTGTGTGTTTTGTGGAGGTGCGTGTTCAGTAGACCTTTTGTTTAAATATGAATTTGCTTTGGCAGGACACTTCCACATCCAAATGCACTCTCTGTATATTGCATTAGGAGATGCAACATCCTGAGCTTATAAAATTTTCTGCGAAACTTGTGGTTGGAGAAAGGAGGAGATAGAGGGAATGAATCTAGAGACTGCAGGTGTGGGGACGGGAAAGGTGTTGCATCTCCTTGAAAGAGAAGAAGAAAACATCTTTCTGATCCTTAGTGCGAGGGTTTCCGAATAGTGTTCTGCTCCCTGTGAACATGGGGGGCAAAAACTTGCACACAAAATGAAGTCTCTTGTCAGCTCTAGATGCGTGTTAAGCTCCAGAACACTTTTTGGTACGTTTGCGCTTTTAAGAGGAGTCAAAACTTTTAACTGAAAATTAACTTTTTAAATTGTGTGTATTTGTATGTATTGGTTTGCTCTCGAAGATGAAAACGCATCTGCGATGCTTGCAGATAAGACTCGAGCCAAGTCTAAATTCATGAATGTGTCAAATCACATCCTCAAAATCTCAGATGTTCCTCAGTATGAAAAGAAAACCGCACCTACGTGTGTGTGCTCGTGCAGTGTGCTGCCTCGCTGGCTGACTGGCCTGACAGCAGCTGTTAGGACAGAGCTCACCGGTATCTTTCCCACTGATTTGCCTGATAAGTTTCCCTCTTCAAGGAATCAAGTAAAATTAATCTGTCTGTGGTTCGTAACTTACTGGAACAAAACAAAAGCTCTCTCTACCTGTTGTGCAGGAAAAGCAAATGAAAGTGGAGGAGGCATACTACTGGTGGTTTGTATGAAATAATTGAAGAATAAGGGAAATCTACTCCTGTACAACTTTTCAATGATAACGTTCACAACTATTTCAGGATACAGACATGGTGATGTAACATTAAAAGGCATTGTTCTGCGATTCAGTCTAATTTCAGTATTTGTAACTCTTCCTTTGTTTAGAAGAAGCAATTGTGAAGGATAATGTGGAGAACGCGGCATTAGAAGAACCAGAGGAGGCCACAGAGCTTTTTGCAGATAATGCAGAAGAGACTGCAGACGTAAAAGATCTCTCGGATGGAGAAGGTGCAGCAAATTCAAGTGCTGATGATTCAGAGGAGGATTTAGCACTTGGAAAAGAATCAGGGGAAGAAGAATTGGAAAACTTAAGTGAACAACCTTTAGCTGATTCAGAGACTGAAAGCTCAGTAAGACAGCGTAAAAGTCAGGTGGCTGATAACGGACTATAGCTTTTTCTGTGGTGGATTTCGTACACTTGGACCAAAGAAGTATCAGGCTCTGGGTCTGATGCTGAAGCTTACACTTGATTTGTCATTTGTGTTTACGCAAAACCTCTGCTCTGTCAGCAGGCGCTTATTTTTTTTTCTTTTTAAGCTAATACTTGCTTACTTACTGTTTTATAAGCACATATGCTGTGTGTTGTGTAACTTTAGCCATGACAATCAAAATAAGTGTATCTTACCTGTTCAAAGTCTTCTAAGAGAGAAAGGGTGTATCGGTCTCAGTTCACTGGCAGTAAGATGGGCATTGATGCTTCTGCTCCTTTAAATATTGACCTAAGCAAAATCTTTTTTTTTCTTTTTTTTAAACTCTTTACAGTAGCTTGGCAGGACTTTGACTTTTCTGTCTGAATGTTCGTTGTTTCCAAATGCCAGAGCAGCAGCAGCAGCAAAGTGATACAGTAGTGAAAGAAGGCACCTTTTTAGTCTTCTCCTAACAATGTTGTGCACGATGGGTTTATTTTTATCGCTTTCAACTGAAGCACCTTTCTCTTTCGTTAATATTTACTTTGGAAGTTTACTGTACAGTATGTCCCCAAGTTGTTCAGTTTTGGTAATTCAGAGGCAAGCTGCACATCTCGAGCTCGTCAGCTCAGGTTTTCAACCCAAGGAGTTTGAGTAATTGAAAACCTGAGGCCGAGAAAGAACGACAACTAAATGCTTAAAATATGTTTGAACTTTTAAAAGGTTTAAAGAAAATTATTCTGGTCAGGGTGGTTGTTTTGTCAAAGCATGACATTTTATTTTTTTTTTTTCCCCTTCAGGAGATCTTAGTGAGAAATATTCACTTTGCAGTCAGTAAATTGTATATTTCTTGCCAATACAAGCTTGTCATACGCAGTGCTGTGCTGCCATTTCCAACCTGGAATACTTTTGGCAGAGCTCAAGCTTCTTTAATGATAGTAACTGAAGCAGAACTTCAGGTTTTACCTTTGATCACCTTTTCTACTTTTTGACACAGGAATCAGCATGTTAGGAAAAGAGAGGGGTGTGAGTGAGTAGTGGGGAGAAGCTTTTGGTATTGCTACTTATATCAAGATAAACGTGTCTATGGAACTGTGTAAAGTGAAAATGACTTGACAGATAGAGAGCATTAGGGGTAGTTAAAAGACTTGAGTCATTAAAGATAGCAGTATTTCCCTCCTTTGACATGGTTAATATATACGGCTTTTTTTTCAGTGAGGAACACCTGCAGTGAGATCCTCTATGTTCCTGTTATGTTGGTGTGTGATCATATGTGTAAGATGTATTTTAATCTTGTTTGTTTGGGGTTTTATATATATATATATATATATACATATATATATTGCATAGACCTTGCTAACGTGCATGAATTTCATCTTGTTCTTCAAGAGTAATTGGGGATGAAATCATCTCTCATTAGAAGAGACAAGTTGCAAGTGCAAAATGCTGGTTTCCTTTGAGACTGAGACTAATAGGGCCAATTTGTGTTTAAAGTTAGGGGTTTTTTTTTGTTTTTCTTTTTGAAATGCTCATAAAGAGCATGTTTATTAAGAAAGCTTAACTTTTGTCTGTGTCCTGTTGCATATCGTGTCTTGGACTTATATGGTAGAAGCTTTGCATTTGTCTTATGGCTGTGTAAAGAACAAAATTACACTGCATATATTGAATATGAATTTTCTTAAGGAATGTTCTCAATCTGGAGCTGGAATTTCATACAGTGGACACATGTAAATATGCTTTCACATATGTGAAAGCAGACAGTTGATAATATACATTGCACTATAACGAGCACAGTTTGTCATGTATTATTTGGGCATCGTCCCACATAACTGGGCAATTGTAGAAACTTGCACACAGCAGAACTCGGTAGTAGTGAAAGTACATAGCAGCAGCTTCTTTTTTTCTTGCTTTTATTTGTAAAAACTAAGAAACCTTTGTGGTGACTGCAGCCTGGAGTGAAGAACTGTGCACCTAAAAGCTCAAAGTACAGACTGGTTGTTTCTATGATAATTTGCTTCTCTCATTCTCTGTGCATCAGGAGCTCATGAAAGTCTAGAAGAAAAAACAAGACTTTAACGTTATTTCATGAGACAAGCAGGAGTCAGCATGTATATTCAGTTACACGAGCTTGTATAAGAGTAGATGTACTCTCTCAGTCATGGATCCAAAACTACGAGACATTCAAAAATATGTGGGACTGGATCCAGCAGAGAGGAAGGGTAACGATGACTTTGGTTGTGTTCCAAAGAGGATGTTTTATACTGTGTAAGGTCTTGTGATACTTGGTGTGTAGGAGGGAGCATATCAATATTACATTTTGATTCAGTTTCTTTTCAATTCTGTAATATCTTGGAGCCAGTCATCTAATATCCTCCTCAGCTATTTTAAAGAGATTTTAACTATAAAAGATGCAGAATATCTTTATACCTCACGGAGGCTTGGTTGGATGCCTTTTGGAATATGAAGTATTAATAAGTCAACTGTACCTCTTTTCAGCGCTTAAGATGAGGTATTTGGGCTTTTTGAATGTTTAGACAAAAAAGATATTCTCCTAAGAGTTGGATTTCATTACAAGCAAAAATGCAAACCACAAATGACACTTTGTCTTACAAGAGACATGGTTTATGAGATGCTGTGAGAAAGATCAGAAGCGCCTTTGTGTGGTGATTCTCTGAAGCTTACATTTCCTCTGGTTTTATGTCACTGAGTTTGGATTATTTAAAATGAAGATACTAGGTATTTTCCATCATAACAGACCTAAGATCGCTCAAAAGGAATGAAGTAAGCAGGCAGCAAGTGACAGCAGCTCGTCTCTTCATGGATTTATCTTGTGAATCTAGGCTTCTGAGGCTTCTTGGACATAGTATGTCATTACTCCTGGGTTTTCATTGATAAAGTAAGGGATATTAACTTGGATTTGACTGTATTTGACATGTATTCGAGTATCTTGTTACAAAGATCAACTAAATTGTGATTAAGACTTGAGAAAAACAAGTGCTGTGGACCTGCTGGTGTCTCCAACTGAGTCATATTTGTAGGGA